GCTCAAAAGTTTGAGGTTGCAGTGAGCTGTGACACCATGGCACTCTACCGGGGGCGATATAGTGAGACACTCTCTCTCCAAAAAAATAAATAAATAAAAATAAAAGGTATCGTGCTCACTTCAGCAGCACACCTACTAAAATTGGAACAATACAGAGAAGATTAGCATGGCCTTTGTGCAAGGATGACATGCAAATTCGTGAAGCATTCCAAAAAAAAGAAAAGAAAAAAGAAAAGGTACCACTAAACAAAAATATGATCTGATCAGAACCGTATTTTTTTTTTTGAGACAGAGTCTTACTACGTCTCTCTCAGTAGAGTGCCATGGCGTCACAGCTCACAGCAACCTTAAAGTCTTGGGCTTAAACGATTCTCTTGCCTCAGACTCCCAAGCAGCTGGGACTATAGGTGCCCAACACAATGCCAGTCTATCTTTTGGTTGTAGTTGTCATTGTTACTTGACAGGCCCAGGCTGGGTTCAAACCCACCAACTCCAATGTATGTGGCTGGCACCCTAGCTGCTGAGCTACAGGTGCTGAGCCAAAATAATACATAGTGGGGTTTTTTTTTGCAGTTTTTGACCAGGGCTGGGTTTGAACCCACCACCTCCAGCATATGGGGCAGGCGCCCTACTCCTTTGAGGTGTCTCCCCAGAATAATATATGTTTTTAAAGCAAAGCAAACAGACTAGCAGGTTGGGTGGTGGCTCACCACTGTAATCCCAAGGTTGGTCAAAAAAACAACAAAACAGATCAGCAAGATAAAGCCTTTTCAAATATGTGCACCAGATAGGAGGTATATGGGCTGTCTGGGACTACCCAAGGAGGCAAATCTGCAGGTGAGCACCATCACCCAGCAAGTCCCTCACTTGGAGCTTCTGAAGACAGGACTGGGAGGGCATACCTAGGACAAGTCAGTCTCACCTTTTTGGTGGCTTTTCAAGACCTCTGGTTCCTTAGCTCCCCAAAGATCCAGGACCCACAGCTCTGCCTCTTGCTCTAGCTGGGAAATCAGTTCTGGCTTAGGGACAGGGAATCCTGTTGAGGGAAGATGACACTGGGTGAGTCAGTGTGGCCTAGGAAGCTGGGGCACAAGCCTGGCTCACAGGGCTTTCCAGGCAAGGTGAGTAGAGACATGCCCTGAGTTGGTCAGAGGAGCCAGTAGCCTGAGCATGAGTGCTAATCCACTCATTAGTTCTCCTCCCCTAGAGGGACACCCATGGAGCCACTGGTGACAGGACTGAAGTCCCTACACTTGGGGAGCAAGGCAGGCGCTCCCATGGGGAATATTTCTTCTGTAAAGATGAGACCAGTACCTGGGGACAAGAGGCAAGACCCTCTTCTTTGGGAATACAATGAGCTAAAGTAATCCCATGAGCCCCTTAGTTCCCCCCCTCTCCCCCCAGCCCATGCAAACCAAGGAAGCCAGGCAGAGATCCTCACCCAGGGAGACCATGTTGCCATAGTTCTCCAGCATCACATCCCTGTACAGTGTTCGCAGCTGGGGGCCCAGATGTTGCCCCTCTGCCTGGAAGAAGTGCAGGGCCACATCTTGGAAGGTCAGCAGCATCTGCTCCTGGAACTACATCTCCTCGTTGCCCCAGGCCATGCCCACAGGGCAACAGACAGCTCTCCAGGGGCCCTGACCTTGGGAAGCACCACCACCCAGAGCCCTCCTGCAGGCAGTATGAATGCTGCACTAACAGGGCGCCCTGACCCAGCTGAGCTGAGAGCCCATCTCTCTGAGGGAGGCTAGAAGTCTACATTTCAGAACCCTTTCCTTGGGAGTGCTAGACTACTTGACTTTACCAGCTAACCAGCTCACAGCTCCAGAGAGCTGCTTCTTTCTTACTGGAGGAAGGGATGAAGATTATGGATGAAGAGGGAGGCAAGGTTAACTCACCTGGGGCCCTAGAAGCTGCTTTCTTGGGCACACTGGCTACTGTGGGGTCTAAAGGAAGAGAAGAGGCTGCCCAGGCCTGACATCTCTTTGTAGGGAGGAGAACCCATAATCAACCCCAATCAGCAAGGGGTGTGGAGGGGTGGCCAGGAGGCAGAAATTAACCTTTAGTGTGGCCTTACTGGTGATGAGAAAGGTACTAAAGAAGTTTTAACATAACAGGAGCCAGCATGTCACCCTACTGCCCAGCTTCATGAAATCCTGAACTGCAGGAGCAAGAGCCCAAGGGTTCCAGTGATTCCCCATTAAGAGTGAAACCTGGCGGCTCGGCGCCTATAGCTCAACCGGCTAAGGCGCCAGCCACGTACACCTAAGGTGGCGGGTTCAAATCCCCAGCCCGGACCTGCCAAACAACAATGACGGCTGCAACCAAAAAATAGCCGGGCGTTGTGGCGGGCGCCTGTGGTCCCAGCTACTTGGGAGGTGGAGGCAGGAGACTCGCTTGAGCCCAGGAGTTGGAGGTTGCTGTGAGCTGTAATGCCATGGCACTCTACCCAGGGGGACAGCTTGAGGCTCTGTCTCAACCAAAAAAAAAAAAAAAAAAGAGTGAAACATGGCAGCTCCAATAGTCCACACCCGCTAAGGGCCTGAAAATGGGATGCGGGACGGCTTTGCTTCCTGACCTAACCCGTGACAAACAGCGACGCGAAAATGGACGGTTGTGCAGCCCTCACCGCACTCTATTCAATAGGGCAGAGGAAAGAGCGAGGGTTCCCCGATTAGGTGAAGACAGAGGACTGCCGTCATCCTCAGCCTGTGATCCCAGCCTCTTAGGTTGGCCTGCCCCTGAGGCCAAGCTGCGGTCACCGCCTCATTTTCCCAACAGCCTCCTCCCGGCCTCTCCCGTTGGTTGGTGGCTTCTCAGGGCTCTGATGCCCAGAGCCCCTCCTGGACAGGGCCGCCTGCCTCCCCGCGCTGCGGGCACTTTTGCACAGCTAGACTTTCCTCTAGCGTCCCCAGCAAGAGCTCACGATCAGGGCCGTAACCTCCCCCGAAGTTCCTCCCGGGGACCTCCTCTGTGCTGGCTCCTCCGCCCGCCGATAAAGCCCTCCCGCTCGGCCCCGTACTTCTGCCGTCGGACGCCAGGCCACCTGCTCGTTCCGGCCCCTGCCGCCCACAGTTGGCTCGGGCTGCAAACGGCTGGGCCCAGGCCCGTTGCCAGGGAGGGGTCCGCAAGCGCCCCGCGGCCAGACCGAGCCAAGCCCGCACGCCCAGCGGCCCAGGAACCCGGCCAGGCCCAGGCAGGCGGCGCCTGGACTCAATGTGCCGGCGGGCCCCGCTGCGAACCCTCCTGAACTCCCGGCGTACAGCAGCGGCGTCTTTGGTTCTGGCACCCAGAGCGCCAGAAACCTGGTGAGGCTCCGCCCCCGGCGTCCAGGGCAGCTACAGGGTGGCCGGAGGCGGTGGAGAGCAGCTAGGGAGCAGGTGGTGGGAGGGAGCAGGAGGAGAGGCCGGGGGAGGCAGAGGAAGGAGGACAGGAAGGTCGCTCAGGGGGAGGAGGAGGGGAGGATGACGGAGTCGGGGAGGAGGTGGGGAGGTGGGCAGATGAGGGGGAAACGGAAGAGAGAGTAGGGTGGAACTTCAGGAGAGGTGGGACTCCGGCTTCGCTCCCCCGGCTGGCGGGCCCCCTTCACGGCAGCGGCCGCTGTCCGCGCCCTCTAGCTGGACTTCGGCCTCTGTGTCTGTCTGCCACATTCCTCTTCCTTATAACAGCAAACAAGTCGTACATAAAGATCATCCACTAGAGCGTGGTTTAAAAATAGCACTTATTAAAGCTGAAGAGGCAGGATCTGGAGTCGTGGAATGAGTGAACGAAGCTAAGGACGATCTTGTCTCCCCAAATACGCCATGGACTGAGAGAATCAAACCACAAATTCTGGGTCTGAGCTGGAGGCAATCGCTGAAGATGGAGAATGTCTAAAAGTCTCAAATAAACACCATGCAAATTCACATTGTTTAAAAGCTGCCATACGTTATTAACATTAAGTGTTGGGGAGGAGATGGCTGGAGTGTGAATTAAGCTATATATAAAAATAACTTAAACACTTACAGTAATGTAGGAATCAGCCCCAAGAATATAACAAACGTTAAAGACAAGGTGACCATCCCAGAGTTCTGTTTTTTGTTATTGAGACACAGTCTCACTATGTTACCCTCCGTAGGATGTTATGGCGTCACAGCTCACAGCAACCTCAGACTCTTGGGCTTAAGTGATTCTCTTGCCTCAGCCTCCCAAGTAGCTGGGACTACAGGCGCTGGCAACAAGCCTGGCTATTTTTGTTGTTGTCCTTGTTTAGCAGGCCTGGGCTGGCTTTGAACCCACTAGTGCCACGCCTGGCTATTTTTAGAGACTGGGTCTGGCTTTAGGTCAGGCTGATCTCCTGAGCTCATGCAATCCACTTGCCTTGGCCTCCCAGAGTGTAAGGATTACAGGTCTGAGCCGCTGTGCCCAGCCACAAAATCATATATCTGATATGACCTCAATTGGATGTATGAATACTTAGTTAGAAAGGTTTCAACCAGGTGCAGTGGTTCACATCTGTAATCACAGCACTTTTAGAAGCTGAACTGGGAGGATCCCTGGCACCGAGAAGTTCAAGACCAGTCTGGGCAACATAGTGAGACTCTGTCTAAACAGAAGGTTTTTAAAAAATTAGCTGGGTGTGGTGGGAAGCACTTTCCTTTGCAGTTACTTGGGAGTCTGGAGCAAGAATTGTTTGAGCCTAAGGAGTTAGAGGTTAAAAAATCAAATCAAATCACGGGAGAAAGGCACATCCACATAAATAAATGAGCTCAACTATATACAAAATTGATAACTATACAAAAAGAATTATTTCTAGTAACTATGGGTTCTCAATAGCCTGTATTCTAAGGATTAAACTATAAACTGCTCTATGAGGAATCCTCAGATACACTCAAAACTAGCCACTTGCTGGCTTTTCATAGATACTATTATGGAACTAAAAGTGATAAGAAAGTGAGGGAGGGCTGTTTGAAAGTTTCGGAGAGAACAACCAGATAGTGCATGGATCATGCTTCTTGATCTTAGCCTGAACAAAGCTTTACTAGACATTTTGGGGACATGGGAAATTTGAATTTGGGTTGCCTATTAAAAGAGATCACATGGGCGGTACCCATAGCTCAGTGGGTAGGGCACCAGCCATGTGCACCAGGGCTGGTGGGTTCAAACCCAGCCCTGGCCTGCTAAAAACAAAAAAATAGGTGGGTGTTGTGGTGGGCACCTATAGTCCCAGCTACTTGGAAGGCTGAGGCACGAGAATCTCTTTTTTATTTTTGAGACAGAGCCTCAAGCTGTCCCCCTGGGTAGAGTGCTGTGGCATCACAGCTCACAGCAACCTCCAACTCCTGGGCTCAAGCCAGTCTCC